TTCTAAACCAATGAATGCTTTCATTTATAGATTTTTCAATTTAATTAGAAGATTCTTGTTTGTGAAGTATATTGCGTATAATTGGAATTCTAATATTCAATAAAAAACAGGGATTTATTTTAGTTCCAGACTGTATAGAAGTCTTTAATGTTGACATGGCATGAAAATACAACTTTTATGATTGTGAAAGATGAGTACTTTTTTTCTTTCACTTAGTAATCTTAAAAAACTAATACTTTAATAACTATATTTTTAACACGTTTCTTATTAAATAAAACTATTTAAATGAATATCTTTCGTGTAACTTTATTTATGCTTCAAATTTTAATGCTTATATAGAAGTTACGATAGTTGGTTTCCCTTAAGTTATTAGATTCAAGAGAAACCACTTAAAGATAAATCCATATTTGAAAAATATCAAAATTGTTGATCTGATAATTATTTTCAATATTACATTTTGGAGTGGTATTTATTTTTATATATATAGGGCTATCATAACTGTGAAGATTCAAAATAAGCAGTAAAAACAAAATAGAATCATTTCTAAATTATTGATTGATTTGGCTTTGTGAGTTTAGATATTTAAAACATTGTATATTTCAGTGTTAACTTTATTTAACTATTAAGTTTATTATCATCTATTTTAATAACTGCATTACATCTCTGAAATATAGTGTCAACTAAATATCTATAAATGAATATTATTTCAATGATTAATTTAGTGCTTCGATATCGGTCTGAATCAATTTGAAATACTTGAAAATAATTCTGGAAGGTCCATAGAAACCAGAACAATTTGTAACACCGCCATTCACAGATAATATCCTAAAACTTCTTATTACTTTTTACTGTTACAGTTATTCATTAAAAATATTGTTTTACATCTTGAATAATATGTTTCCATATTTTAACAAAACTGAAGTAATATTAACATGGACCTTACTAAAAGGCATATAGTTTTACATGAAAAGAAAATATCTAGTTACAATAAATCAGATACTTAGATTTTTTTAAAAGGAAATCTCATTAAACTCTTTTTAATCTATCTTCCACAATTATCTCAAAATTCACTTGAAAAGTATTAATTCTTATATGTACTATTTGAATAAGTAGAATACAAATACTGTCGTTTATATTTTATTATAATGTAGCAATGAAAAAATAATAATAATAATCTCAATTAACATTTCTTTTTTATTAAATGTTTTTATTAGAAAAAATGAGAAAACATCCTTGAGAATTACCAAAAATAGTAGTTTTGAATTCTTTATCTAATTATTTCATTGAATTATGAATGCCTGATATTAGAAATCGGACATGATCAAAGATATTAATAAAAAGAGTTTTTGAATTGGCAAACCATAATTTCTATTGATTCCTGTTAATATGCATTAGAAAATTTTATGACTGCTGGTTGTTGTTTTTAGAATTTCATGTTATTGGATTATAACTTCAAAAGAAGGAAACGCTAAGAAAATTGGTAAATATTTTAAATGAATTTCGCTGCGTATTTAGTATATAAGCTCTAAATTATGATGGTCACAAATTCTTGCAGGAAATAAGAAGATAAATAGAAAGATAGTTTTTTCTAGACTAAATAAAGTATATTTTATTGATGTATTTAAAACCTTTGAACCGATTCAATAAACTAGTATAACTTAAGACAAAAGTATTATATCTAGGAACAAGAATTTTAAAATGACACACTAGTTTTTATACAGTTATGATCCCTATAAAAATTGATAATTTGGGGGGAGGCTGAGATTAAATGAAATATATGAGAACAGATCCGATGAATATATTAAACATTTCATTGGTATTACAAAAATTTTGGAAGAAATATTTACAGCAATCTTTAACTAATTTGTTCTATATGTTCATGTGGAAATGTTTTTTTAAATTTGATACTTATAGTAGGATTTATTATTGAATATTCATATACCACAACCAGTAAATAAATAAATGCATACCTAATTCTTTAGCAATCCCAATAGAACATGCTTCAAGTCTCTTATTTTCCTAAACCAAAAAATAACTTTTGTTGATGTTCATGACGTTTCATTCACCTCAGAGGAAAGACGAAACAAATTTTATATTCAAAAAGAAAATAAATACATTATTGAATGACACTTTTATACTGATCTCATTCCCTTAAATTATATTTTAAAAGATTATTGTTGTTTGTCTTGGGAACAATAAAATATCTTTTGATTCAATTATGTCAATAAGATGCGTATTATCACCACTATCATCCAGTAATATATACTTTCAATGATTAGAAGAGCTGAGAAAATGAAAAATAAGCAGTCTTTATGGATTGATATTATATATATATATATATTTAGTGTCCATGGTAAAACAAGTATTTTGACTTTATGTATTGAACATAATTATACAAGCACAAACATGTACTGTTCTTATATAAAAATGCATAATTGAGAAATACGGAGATAAAATAGCTTTGAAATTATATAGCTATTTATTTTGGAGTCTATTCAGGAGCCCTGGTTACAAGAAATATACCTATTCTACAATGAATTCTTACTTTATTTAGAGGTATATATGTAGATTGATACAAATATTGAAGAGATACATTCGTTAGTCTAAAAAGGGTAAATCAATGTCTGTTGACTGCTGTTTGGGAATACTTAAAGTAGTTAAAATAGAATTAACTACCCTTTCAGCTGATAGGAATAGATTGTCGATACATATCTTTTTGATAGAATCATATAATAAGAAAAAACACTGAAGAACTAATACAATTATAAATAGTAAATTACTGTTATTCCTTCATATAGGTAAGTATAACATTAATATACATTGAGAAAAGCACGATTAATTATTGTTATTGTTATTTTACTCTTCTAATAAACTTGATGTTAATTTGGTTGATGATATAGTATTATTCCTATTAGTTACAGCAAATTTCCGATAATTGATGGCATCAGCTCTGAAATTACTTAGTTTGAGTAAGTACGTTTCAAAGGTACAAACCAATTAAGAGAAATGATTTATAAATTATGAAAAGTTGTGAATAAATTACATAATAAGGATTTTGATTCCATGAAGATATTTTCGTTGATATCTATTAAATTGCGTGTTATGATGAGTTTGACATATCAGCAAGGCTTTCATCTTCATTCACTTGGACAATGAAATTTTCACCATATTTTAAACAATGGATAAAAATTTGATTTTAAACATTGGTCAAGAAAGCTCTTTATAACATATATTAGGAAGTCGAAAGATTGTGATAGAAAACGCAACAGTTTCCACCTTCAATATTGATGTTTTTAATATTGGAAGACAAGAAATTAATTGAAATATAATTATTTTAAGATTATATTTAAAATTTATACTTTATAATTTATACACAACCAGGGCTTTCTGTAAAAGTCGTTGTTTTTTATCTTTCAAAAAAATATTCTGAGGCGTCACAGTAAATTAACCATTATATGGCATTCATTAAACTATATTAATAGATATCGATGAAGTCCAATGTTTCGTCTTAGATTTGAAATTAATCCTGAATTATTGGATTAGAAATGCATACAAATGAAATTTCTATAGTTTACTGTATTCAGTTTACTATTAATTATCATAATTATAGTCTTTAAGTTTCAGACTAGAACAGAAAATTATTCAAAGAAAATCAATTTGGTGAACTAAGGCCAACCGAGCCCAACCTCGTAAATTATTAACACATACAAAAATATATCTACTAAAATTATAATAAACCTAATTAATTTTAGTCACTACAAATATTTTATAATGCAATCCTATTTAGCTCAATAACGCAATTGATATTAAAACACATTATCTATGCAAAGGGCATCTTTGATTTTCTATACTTTGTAAGGATATTTTAGGTAATATGCTTACCTTACGTTATAGTAAACAAAAGGTTTCATAGGATGGATTTCTATTTTAAAATAAATCATATTTGAAGATTTAAATACATTAAATTCAACATTTTTTCGATGATATTAAAATTATTAAAATTATAATAATAAACTATCACTTGAATATGACTGTTATATCTTTTAATCTGATGTTGGATATACATCACGTTAATAATACTTAAATATTATGAGAAGATATATTCAATTACTCTGATATAGCTTACATAACAAGTGAAACAAGTAAAATTATTTATTTTAGGAAATTTTACCTTTATATCTGTTTTTGAGTATACATATATTTAAGATAAAGGGATTTTACAGCTTTTATATTTAAATTTTATAGATCAGTCAAATAGGTTACTGTAGAATTGAAAGTATACTCTTTAATTAATGCTGATTAAAAGCCATTGGAAAAAATGTGTATCCTTTTCTTCTTTAATCAATTATAATATCACGAGCCAAAACTAAATAATCAATTCATTTCTTATATGATATAAAAACCTTATAATAGGTATTTGCTATCTAAACCAATAATTTTCCAATGTATCTGAAAGGAAGAAGAGAAATTATAGAAACGTTTCATAGTGTGTAAAAGTTTTTGCATCTGTTCTGATTATTTCTAATAAGTAGTTCCTTGTCTGTAAAACAGTTAGTTCGTCCAATATAAATGATTACCTGAAAAAGTTTTGAAAAGGGTAAATTACATCTAGAAATTTTAAAACTCATGAAATGTTAAGGTAGTTCTTTAATCCTTTAATATATTTTGTTATATAATAAAATTAAAGGATTGCTCAAGACACAGGAGTGTGAAAATAAGGGAAGTGCTACAAATATATTGTCATTATTCTATATATACAAAATAATTATTCTATATATACAAAATAATTATTATACAATGATAGAAAATCAGAAGAAAAATAGACACTATTTTAAAAGATGAAAATGAATGTACACCGATCATTATTAATCTCCCTCTCATGAGAGTTAAATTCTAATTTTATCTTAACCTTGATCAAACAACATTTGAATGTATGGAATAAAACTGTCCATCATTTAGGCTATTATATATGCAAGAGTGGAACTTTAAATTCAGTAATCTTAAATATCCCATAAATTTGTAGTATGGTGGCAATTACAATTAGCATCTTTCTTTTTAATTTCTCTTTTCAGGTGTTGAATATAGTGAATAACTAAAGCTTCTGCAGCTATTATTTTTGTTTGCAGAGGGATATCATTGATATCATAGTTATTTGAATAATATTTTTCACCTACATATAGATCTGCTTCATGATTTATTATTCTATTAAGCTTACCACGTAGTTCTTCGGTATAATGTGCCACAGTTAACCTATTGGCATCTGTGACTTTCATTTTTTCAATATTTTCCATTAACTGAAGAGATAAATGTTGTTTGTTTGCAGCTGGGGGCTTTTCAAAAGCCTCCCACTTTAGAACGTAGCCTGATATATTAGTGAAATAATTTTCTGTCATGAATTCTCTGCCCATACGCATGTCATCCATAGCATTTGAATAAACAAAATGGAACTTATAGTCTTTATCAAAGCCATTCTTTTCACATGAGACTTCACAAAAAGGTATTTTAAATAATTTTTTACCACCATTATTTTGGATTACAGTGTATTCATCATATGGAGGTGGTTCGTATATACTTCTTACTTCATAGACATAGACACCGAATATTAAACTCTTCAAATCAGATGGATCTCTGAATCGAGCAACGTTGTCTACAGCAATCTCCATCAACGGGACACCATTTCCAATATTTCCAGCTATATAAGACTTATCAGAAGTTGTATCCTTGAATGTTTCATAGGATTGTCTAGAACCAAAAATTAAAAATCCGTTCTGGTCTGCCACACGTACAATAATTAAATTTCTAGTAGCATTGAAATGAAAGCATTCGGGAACTTCCTTTTTAACCAATTGTTCAATTGTATACTTCAATAATGCTTCTTCAGCTTTTCTACCTTTAAATAGTGAAATCATGATTAATCCATCAAAGACAACGTCTATAAATAATTACGTTAGTAAGCAATAGCACAAATTCCCAATGGCTAGTAATGATAGCTATATCTCCGATAACTTTCAAAATAATACCAAATGGCATATTGAAAAGAATTAAATTTTAAATGATGACTAAATTTAAATATGCTTGGTATCATTTTATATCCATCAATCATCGATGAATCTTAGATCCGCTAAAATGATTAGAAAGAAAAATCTCCTACATCGAATAAACAAGAAATACCAATAACCTACTCTACAAAATCTCAGATCTTAAGAATAATTATAACTTTCGACTTAGCCTTGTCCCTATAGCTGTCCAACTACTTTAAACAAGACTTTTCTGTTACTTGACATTATTCTTACAAAAATATTGTTAGTAGTGTTGCTTATTTCATTCTTGTCCTTTTCTAAGTTAAGGAATGAAAAATAACATACTTGTAAAAATTTCAGATAATTATGCGCAGAAAAAAAATTTTAAGGTAGGCGAAGACTTTGGAAACGGGATGTTGCAAGAATGAAAAGAGGCTTGTTCTTAAGGCACAACAAAAGTAGGCAAACTATTCATAAAAACAGTTTCGAAAGTAGCAAGATAATGTATCAATGTGTCAGGGAAATTAGAACGAAGTTTGTTGGAAGAGTTAGTCCTATTAATTTTCTACCGGTATTAGTACTTTGCATCCGAAAAGGGTTGATCAAAGAAGAGAATACAGTAGTAAGATTGGTGATGAGGGATGAAGGCTAAAGGATATGCTTTGATGTAGTCATTTCTGCGGTACAATTTTGAATAAAATGGCTGCAAATGTCAGATTAGCTCTATTCTGATGCCTTCTTACTTTGGCCAAATGTTGCAAAGAACCTAGAGTAATAGATATGAGATATACGCCACATCTAGCATGCAATTATTGATATTATGTGCTTGCAATTATGGCTAGTTTCTTCCCCTTCGAATTAAAGTTTTTCTTAGGTAATAAATGAATAGTACTTACATAAATTTTTGATCTAAAAACCGATGGATGTTGGTAGGATTGTCGATTAGTAGTACATTTCTTGAAAATTTATCGTTCGGTTTTTAAATTTGCTTGAGATATTTTTTAGGATTATGAACTACGAGAGTAATAATCTATTAGCCCATTTGAAAGTTGTTAAGGAAGCTCAAAGGTAAAACCATGATACTCCTAGAATAATGACTTAAGAAGGCTTGGATTAATATTGAGAAGTAGCGTTAGTGTTTAACTTGCACTTCTTAATAAATTTAAATTTAAGGTTAGTTACGAAAAATTCCTATAGTAGAATGGCATACCTAATGATATTTTTTTATTCAAAAGTGTAGATATTTAATATCCTTATGTTTATAAGTATTTTGTTCCACCTCGAGTTAAGCAGGTTCTAGAGGATGATTATTTACAATTGCCAGTAATTTCTTGGTTCACGGATCCAGTCTCTGAGAAAGTTATTAACTTATATATTATCCAAGAAATTTACTTAACTGGTTTTGAAATTTTTACAGACTTAGTGAGAGATTTATGTATAAGAGATATGTGGTATTTAAATGTTGGTGAAGTTCAGAAGTTTCAGTATACTATATATTGTAATATTCACTTCATGTCTCAGTGAGACACAGGAGCCAAATCTTATTTAAAATATAATCAAATTAAAAAATTGAGAACCAAGAATTTTAATATATTCACATATTTCTGGCATTTCTAGTCTTAAATTTCGTATTTACTTTTATTCCCAATTTCATATTTAACCAGACAGTACTAATTGATGATAGTCAAGAGAATTTTCACTAATAATTGACAGTATGAGAAAGTTGAAATTGCCATTACGTAATCGCCTCAAAAATCTCCGAATTTATTTTAACTGCACAATCAGTTCAGAAGAAATGTTTTTATTCTGCTAGATTTGGTTCTTCTTTTTTTCTGAATGATTATCCAAGTGTATATTTTAAAGATGCTGCTTTCAAGTATTTGACATCATTCTGTTCTAATCAAATTTAATGAATTCATTATGTAAAAATTATCATTTTCCAATTGTATTGTTTGGTCCGGAATATTTAACATTGATGTAATAAGTATTTATCTAGGGAAATAAGCCGTAGATATAGGTACTTAAGGTTACTAGTTATAAGCTCTAGGAGGTCATCAAACTATTATAATAACTATACAGTAGTATTTAATATATTAAGATCCCTATCTTTACTTCAGGAACTATTTCTTTTATATACGTTGCATTACCACTCTATTAGTGACATCCTTATCATGAAACATGACAAAGTCCTCTTGTACTCAAGCGCAATCAATATACAATTGTTTTAGAATTGGTGAAGTATTATATAATATTTTAGTCATCCTCTAGGTTTAAATGTTTCCTTAAATTTTTGGTGGTTAATTCATTCAAAACTTCTGAAATGTAAGATAGGTGGCCTAAACAATAAAATTTTATGAAAAAGATAAGATCATTCAATAATTAAACCAAGTATATTTGAAAATTTACCACCAATATACCAAAAATATCTATACCTTCATAGAATACAGCTCTATTGGATTACATGTAAATTAATAGTGTTCTACCTTTCGATAGTTTCTTAATCATTGGACATAGTGAACTTCATCTTGGTAATAAGTAAAAGTAAAAAAATAAAGTCCTCACAAGAAACTGTATAAACAAGACTAAATATACACATATACACAGATTTCTACTTTCATACAAGTCCATATCAGTAAACAGCAAATCAAATTTACATAAGCCATAACCTGAGTAAGATATATCAATATATCATCAATAAATCAATTTCTAAACTATGAAAATTAAGAAAAGTTGAAATAGCAAACAAAATCCCAATCTTTTGGATAACCAATAAATTATTAAGAAATTAATAATTATAATTCCTAGTTCTATCTATGGAGCTATTTAAGTCACGATTGAGTTTCTATTCTACATTTAAATGTCTAACACATCAAATATTTTATAATAGATTCAACCATTTACACCTGAATTAGGTTCATCTAATAATAATCAACCAGTACTCGAAGCTACAGTTTTCCTATAACTTATTATCAACCAAACTAAATGGACCCTTTAGCTGAGTGTTTCTGCGATATTGTTCACTGAGAATGTAAATGTAAATAATTACATCATCTTTTAATATTTTCCACTTTGGTTAGATCAACTTTTTCGGACACGTAATTGCATTTAATTTCGAGATGAGGACGACAAATATTAGAGTGTTATGACTTTAAAATTTAAGATGTAAGGATATTTATAAATTATCTACTGGTAGATCTGAGTTCAAGATTAGATTTTACTTGTTAGGATTAGCATTGAATTCCAAAGTATCTAATAAAGAAATAGGAGGTTAGCCATAGAATTGAAACACACCCGTACCTTAAGCTTCTCCATTAGGATAGATTTAAGGATATCATGTTGGAACAGGTCAAGATATTTGCTTTAAGAGGTAGACATAGTAGAAATCATCTATTCATAGGGTTGAGTTTTATTCTATTAGCTGCATTATTTTATTCCATCAGTTATGAACCAGAAGCTATAACTACTATTTATAAAAGTGCCAAACTTTCTTTCCAAAATAATGAAAGAGAAGCTTTCAAAGATGCATTAACGAATTTCAAGATTAAACCATTGAATGAAGTTGCTGTCAACCCATTAGAGGTTATTCCAGATTTGGATGAAGTGGTTTCATTAAAAAAAAAATCAGTTTGGAATCCGTTCAACAAAAATAAGTATAAATATTTTAATGAACTTGATTTAACGACTCAATGTAGATTTTATTTCCGCGAATTATACAATATTAATGAAAATTGGTCTAATCATTTTGATAAATTTACATTCAATATTAAAAACTACGATGATAAACAACTAGATTCATTTAAGGATAAACATGGTGTTACTCTGGCTGATGAAGAAACCATTCGTATACATAAAAAGAGACACGATATTGCATTAGCTCTTCAGAGACAAAGAGTATATGACAGTTGCTTTTTGGCAGATCCTGATGCTGTTAATATCCAAGATATCTTTTCTAAAAAGGAAACTACAGAAGATAAACTGGCAGGTCAGATAGAAGATAAAAACGAAAAGAGAGATAAGCAAACTGACAATTTGGAAAAATTTAACCAATGGGACTTTGAACATTCAATGTTTCCTTTCGTTAATTATTTTAACAAGGACAATTTTACAAATATAATGCCCAATATTACTAAAGGTAATGGCGAATTTTATAAGCCAGGTTCTATCCCACATTATGATCCAGAAACAGGGAAATTCAAAAGAATAATTGACTATAAGTATGATAACAAGAAGTCATTTTGGGGAAACTGGAATAAAGCAAGTAGCTTATTTGCAAAACGTGGTATCGCTTTAAGTTTTGCAGATAGCCATTTAGAAATGGCTCTAAAGTTGATTGCAACTTTAAGATTTCAAGGTAATAAATTGCCAATTCAAATTATATACAAGGACAATGAACTTTCAAAAGATACTATGTCAAAGATTCTACAAGTTGCACATAGTTCAGAACTCAAGTTCCCAGGTACACCAATTGATGAAAGCATCAAACCTGTCAAGCAAGATGTCTGGTTTTTAGATGTAACAAATACAGTGGACCCATCTCTAATCGAAAGATATACTGATTTTAAGAACAAATGGTTAGCATGTATATTCAATTTATTTGAAGAATTTATTTTCATGGATATTGATGCTGTTAATTATGTACCGATGGAATATTTTTTTGAAATGGATGAATACAAAAGAACTGGTACTGTATTTTTTAGAGATAGAATGTTAAGAGCTTCTGTTAAAAGAGAGTGTGTTCCCATATTTGAAACTTTGACACCAAATTATATGGAGAGTAAATACTTTGGTAATTTTCCATTTATTAATAAAGACTATGTTGAAGAACAATGTGATAAATACTTGACACCTGAAGAACTTATTTATAAAAGGTATTTTATAAACCATAAATTACATCAAATGGAAAGCGGCCTGTTCGCTATCAATAAAACTAAACACGTTATTCCATTAATATTTTCCATGATGTTGCATATGACCCCACAGGTTAGAGATTGTAATTATGGTGACAAAGAATTTTACTGGATAGGATTTGTCGTCTCAGGCCATTCATTTGCATTTAATGAAATGAATGCGGGTTCTGTTGGTAAATATGAAGTACTATCTAAGAAAGGTGTCGAAGAGAGTGGTAGAATCTGCGCCATACAAATTGCACACATGAATAAAGACGGTAACCTACTATGGGTCAATAGCGGTGGTAGCCATTGTAAATTTCCAAATCAAGCTAAAAAAGATTGGGATGAAGTACAAAATAAGGAATTTACCAAAGCTAAATTTTCTAATTTCAATTCGTTCAAGAAATACTATGATTTTGAACCACTAGATGCAGACTATGGTATTATTGGGGCAGAAAATTACTGGGGCTGGACTAAACCTAGCCAGTTATGCCAAGGTTACTGGTGGTGTGTAAAACATGATATCAAAAAGAAAGAATTTAGTTTTGAAGAAACCAAAGAGGAAGGTACAATTTTCAAATTTTCCAATGAAGAAAGAAAGAAAATATATGCAATTAACAAAATATGGACTAGATTTAATTCTACAAGTTTGCAATTTAATATTCTAAATGAATGATTACATGTGTAACATGTGACTGTATACTGTATAAACACTAATCATTTACAGCTATTTTATAATTATGGAGGCAAAATATTTAGCTACAGGCATAATATTCAGATTTATATTTAACGGACAAACCATTAGAACCTTTCTTGGAATAGGCTACATTAAGAAAAATCCTCCTAAAGAATTCTTGAGAGTAAAATTAATACGGAGAAAAATAGTAAATATATATTATAGCTTTAAATATTTAAATGAAATATATAATTGAGAAAATGATCAACAATTTCATCATAGGTCTTTGTCATACTCAGGAGAGGTGACTGGCCATGTGTATTTATGTCTTGATAAAAAGACGAACTTGTGGTCTGACAAGTATTGTTTTAATTCCTTTGGACCTCTTGAGCCGTATGGGTAAATTTCTGGTTGTGGAGCATTTGGAGATTCCAAATATTCCAACAATGGAGTAAATAATCCCCAACTAACATCCAATTCATCATCTCTGACAAAGTTGGAGTGATCACCCAACATACAGTCTCTGATCAAGACTTCATAAGCTTCTGGGATCCAGAAATCCTTATATCTAGAAGAGTAAGTTAAATCTAAATCTGTGACTTGGGTAGCATTGGATAGACCTGGAGTCTTAGAGTTGAACTTAACGTACACAGAGGCATCTGGTTGAACTCTAAGAACCAATTCATTATTTGGGATATTCTTGAACATACCGGAAGCTACTCTCTTATATTGGATTCTAATTTCAACCTTGGCTTCATTAAGAGCCTTACCAGCTCTCATGATAATTGGAACACCATCCCAACGTTCATTTTGAATGTTGAAACACATAGCTGCGAAAGTGACACACTTAGAGTTTGGATTAACAGTTTCATCGTCAAGATAGGAAGGTTTAGTACCATCTTCAGACTTACCGTATTGACCAACTAAGACATCTTTCATATCAATTGGAGCCATGGCCTTCAAGACCTTAACTTTTTCGTCACGGACAGATTCTGGGTCGAATGATACAGGTCTATCCATTGTGACCAAAGTCAACACTTGTAACAAATGGTTTTGCATAACATCTCTGATGATACCAATCGAATCAAAGTAACCACCTCTACCTTCAGTACCAAAAGGTTCCTTGAAAGAAATTTGTATAGATTGAATGTTTTCCTTATTCCAAGAAGCATTTAAGAAAGTGTTACCGAATCTTAATTGCAACAAGTTCTTAACCATTTCCTTACCCAAGTAATGGTCAATTCTGTAAATTTCATCTTCAGTGAATAAAGGTGCTAGATTTTTTTGCAATTCTCTAGCAGATTTTAAATCATGACCAAATGGCTTCTCTACGATAACTCTAGTGATACCGTTGTCAGCATAAACCAATTTTTTAATTTGTCTTGCAACAGATAAAAATACACTTGGAGGCAAGGCAAAGTAGAATAATCTATGTGGCTTTGTAATGTTTCTTTGTTTTTCAAAATCTTCGATCAATTTTCTTAATGATAGATAACCTTCATCTGCATCGTATTGACCAGAGTGGTAAGTAACCATCTTGAAAAATGCTTCAACCTTGGCGTCATCATCCTTACCGTTTGGCTTTTGTAAATATGGTTCAATGTGTTGTCTTAGTTGTGCATCAGTCAATTTTGATCTAGCAAACCCAAAAATCTTGGTAGATGGATCTAAGAAACCTTCTCTAAACAAACCGAATAGAGCTGGGAAGGTCTTCTTTTTAGCTAAATCACCTGAAGCACCGAAGACAGTGACGACTGTATCTTTTTCAAATTTTTCTTGTAACATTCTAGAGTTTTCGAATGGCATCTTCTTTCAGAATGAAAAAAAAAATATAAAACTAAATTCAAAAACTAACAATGGAATTTGAAAACAACAATTGAAATTAAGAAAGACCTTTTTTCTATCTTAACGTTTCCAAAATATAAATTATTTATATTATATTAAATTTTTTTTTTTTAATTTTGATATACCTTTAGCAGTTGTAAGTAGATAAATACAAATCAAGCCAATTCCCTAAAACTTTCAAAATAATTGAGGAGAAGGGAGTATACAAACTGTTTAGGAAGAAAGGGGTAGGGAGTTAGAAAAAAGAAGGAGACTTGTAGTGCTAATATTGTAAATGTAACCAGCTAGACCGTTCGAAAGACAGCTAGACAATTAGCTAGATAGACAGATATAGTTCGAACGACAGAGCAGACAAACCTAAAGGAAAAGACAGACAGAAAGTGAAAAAAAATTTTTTTTCTTTTTTTTCTGTTCGAATTGCAGTTATTAAAAACGGAGTGCAGATTGATAACAACTAGTACCAGTGGAGCAGCAGTTGGTTAATTGTTATTATTTCGAAGTAATTAATAATAATAGTAGAAATAATAATAATAATAGCTACTTCCTAGAGGCAAAAAAATATTATTATTGATTCTTGTTATTTATCCAATTGGAATAGTACGATTATTAATTTTAAGACTAAACTAGACCAAAGGGGGGGTGGGGAGGAGGGATGGAGACTAACTAACGTAATGAAAATTTAGTTATTCTTGTTCAAAAAAAAATTAGTATGTAAGTTTGTATGCTAATTCTTCTTAAAAAATTCTTATTATAATGTATTTTTTTGATTTTTCCTTTATTTGGATGGGTGTGATTTAGGAAAAGCTTAAAAACTTAATTCAGACTATCAGACTAGCAAGAACTCCCAGAAATGAAACAAATTAATTAAAAATTTAGTTGAATTGGAATTGGAATTGAATTGAATTGAATTGGGAGTGTTTTACCACAAGTTTATGGAAAGTTGCGTTATTCATATATGCAAGATAGTTGAGACGTTTTGTAAATTACGAATACCTTGATTTTTTTCTTTTACTTTCTTTTACATTTTTGGTTCAGTATACAGACCCAAAATTCTCACACAGTGTGTGTGTTTGTCAGTTGTGCAAGACGTAACCTTTTTGTTTAAATTTTTGAGCTATTCTAATTCAAAATCAAAAGACAAAATATGCACAAGATACAAAAAAGATAAATAAATATGTGTATGTTTGTATGTGTGTATCATACCCAATTACACAACCGGTACAAACAAAACAAAGAAACAATCAATAACTATGTAACAAAACAATAATAATGGATCGAATAAGTATGTAATGCAATGTATTGAAAAATCAATATTTGGTGAATTACTAATCCATAATCTCTAGCCTCCCTAATATTTGCCAGTACCCATCTCTTGAATCAAACAGACCAACTGATTGATTGATCATAATCAATTGAACTAAATAAAGCTAAGCTTGAGCCGGCTTAGAGTAAGTTCAACTCTTGACTGATAAATCGCATGAATGAAGTATATTTTTAGCATGTGTAGAGAGAGAGAGAGCGAGAAAGAGAGAAAGGGACAATGAATCAAGGAAAGCCAATGCCTTCCCTCATCTGTCTCTTGGACAGTTTATGGCAGACGTTTTATTTCAAGATAGGTGTTGTGTTCGTTTGATGGACGGCAGCTAGAGAGAGAAATAGGGGTCGGATCGGCTCGGTTCTGAGCAACTTCTTCGTAGCAACGTTGATGTCGATGCTAATGGTACCAGTACCAGTACCAGTACCAGTGCTGCTGTGAACTCGGCCGAAGATGCTAGGCAGGGCGTTAGAAGGGGTTAGTCGGCCAAGAGAAGGAGAGATACCCAGAGAGTGTGTAACCTTCCGGTGTGGACAGAGGGGAGTGCTGTTAACCGAATCGTGTCTGCTCATGCCATTCCATCCCGTGTGAGCGAGTATAGAGGTATCTCTTTTTCTTCCTGCAAAGAGGTGTCATGGTTTCTCTAAAGGGAGGTCTTTTGGTGGAAAAAAACATATTAGAATTATTGAAACATTGTACCAATTTTGGCAATATTTTGGTGTGGTGTTTCTAAAACTGTTGGGCTGAACTGTTTGCGATTTAGGGTTGCACTTAGGGGGATGGGATGGGATGGGATGGGATGGGATGGGATGGCATGAGAGGGAGAGAAAGAGGAAGGGGTGGTAGAAGTAGAGGGATATCGTAATGGTAGTTTGACCACTCATTCGGCTGTGTTTCCATCGTATCGTGTCCACACACATGTTCTCTCTCAACTACATTTAAGGGATTCTTTGGGTTTTCACGGTTTGCCTTTATGTACGGCAATTGTCACGTGATGTGAGGGAGAATCGAAAGTTATTTGAGCATAAAAAGAAAAGAAAGAAGAAAATTACACATGAAGCTTCCTTATTACCACTGCTATGAAAAAAGAACTTTGAAGAAGCGATTAGGTTCAATAGTTTAGGATGGGCTATTTGTACAGAGAGAGGCATTAACGAACTATATACGTATATTCATTTACACATCTGCATGTACATACATACATACATTTACATATTTTTATCTCATAGTTTTTAATTGTTTCACCAAGTGGTGAATTGGACAGGTTGTTCGATTGTGTTCTTGCTGTCACCATTGTGAGTTTCAGATATTGATGATGGATTGTAGAGCTTACGTTTATATTTATTTCCATATTTTTGTTCCTCTTGAAGTTTGATTATGGTATTACTATCATCAAGATCGTGTGAAATAACACCAACTATTACGTTTTCTTGAGAAGATGGCAGGGTAAGATTGTGTCTAGGTTCAATTGACGTCATCGGTATGCTTGTCATGTACACTGTGTTTAGATCTTGGTTTGGATCGGAATCTTGATCTGGTCCATTTTTAATACCGTTTTTCAAATTCCCTCCTCCAGCAATACACCCTCTAGGACATGCCATTACTTCAAGGAAATCACTTTTACAAAAATCAACTGGTTCCTCCACCTTAGTGTTATTGTTATCTTGATTATTAATAGAGGATGATAAAGATATAGAGTTGTCATTACCATTGGCAGTTGGTCTCTTGCGAATGAACCTTTTTAATTTCCGTGGCTTCACATCTTTTACTAATCGTCTCAAATTTTGTATATTACGGAATCCAAACACTTGGGTAGATCTAACTAATATTTTACCCTCTTCATCAATCAATCGGAATTCAGTCACATCCAAATTACGCCCACGAACAGTTTCAATTTTATATGCATTATCATTATCATTATCACTCATCTGAAATCTCCTATGCAATATATATTGCCATGCAAACCCGCCAGATGAACTACCTTCATTAGTTTTAAAAGATGTATCAATGTTCATCCATTTCGGCGTTACTCTTTGAATAGCATCTTCCCATTCTAGCATACCAATTGTCTCTTTGGTTGTCGCAAAATATTTATCAACTTGTTCTGGTGTTATTAAATTGACTAATTCCTTAGGGGTAATAACACAGTCTACTAATCCAATACTTTCAGGTCTCATTGATTCTAATTTTTTATCAAAGCATGGCATGATACTAAGATGATACATCTTTTCTTTGTTCCCATCTTTTAAAAGGTGACCGGTTATCTCCATTGGCGATTTAACATCGATCAACAACGGCAACAAGTCCTGTTGTTTTTTTTCACAGTACATCAAAAATCCAGGACATGCACTACAAATCTTCCTTTCACCTTTATCAGCAACTTCATTCATTAATTTAATGCTTTCTTCACGACCTTCTTGAATTCCAACTACATATCGAGCCCCCCATACTTCTTGTAAATACCTGATAAACATTTGATCAAACTTCAATACTCCCATCCCAAAATATTGACTTAATGACACTCTACATTGTGGTGCTATACTAACACTTAATATATAACCTTCAGTTTTCTTTTCATTCCATTCTTTCACAAACACATCTTGATTTTGTCGACTTAACAATATTTCTTCACTTGAAGTAATACAACCTACACACGCCAGACAATCAGCTAAACTTATTTCAACCTTTTCAGGTTCTTTCCCAACACTTAGTTCACCATCTACTCCATTACTAGGTTTCGATGAGACAGGCTTAATGCATGCTACTTCAGGTGTAATAAAATCGTTCAGGTCTTCTTCCCTAAGCAAAGCACTCATTATACTTCAATGCCTTACTGAAAGCTGAATCTTTTGAATGGGATTTATTGACAATTTATACTCTCAACCATTTATTCAAAACTTTTAAACAGATTGAATACTTCTCTTTTTTATCATCATCACCTAAAGTATATTTCTAATCAAGTCAACTAATTGAAATTCGATGTCCGAAAAGAAACAACCGTAGAAGGGCAAGTTTACCAAATGTATAAAATAGTGATTTCAGTATTATGTAAAAGTTAAGGCTAAAGGATAAGATAACATTTATAATGACTTCTATTCAAGAGGATAACAATGTTATCATCGGAATACGGTCTATCGAATAGTATACCAATACTCTTTTTCTTTATTTTAGTTGATATATCTCTTATTTTTTCAAAAAAGTTCTACTCTTCCTACAATAGAAATCATAACAGCTCCTTTTATATCTGTAGCCTAATCTTATCTAATTCGATCTAATCCAATCTAACCTTATATTTCAATATAGTGCCTTTTGCAACAAACTATATATATAAGCCGTTCAATGGCTGCTAAATAGTGTATCTGTCATACTAATGAGTAATACCATTGTAATTAGCCACATCAACGTTTAATTTTTTACAACCAGCCAATATTTTCATTCATTTAATCATTTCGAAATAACTGTTCTTTTTCCATGTCCATAGCAGCAACAATGTTAAGGATATTTAAAGACCCACGTCCAATTGTCATTAAAAAATCTTTTGAAAGATCTTGTAATTTGGTTATTAGTCATTATACAAGCAGAAGAACGTTGAGTAATTCAAGAATGCCTTCATCCTCATCTTTAGAGTTCAACAGCTTGTCTAACTGGGACAAAGAAAACACTAAAAGTTTAAACCATCAACTTGCTTCAACAGTATTAAAAAATTTTAATGCTGATGATGCTTTATTAGATAAAACAAGATTACTAAGTCAAGATATCCGTATCTTTAACACTGCTATTGAAACTGATGGTACCCCTGTTACAAACCAAAGAGCTTCTGGTAGATGTTGGTTATTTGCTGCTACCAATGAATTAAGATTAAATGTAGTCAAAGAACTAAATTTAAAAGAATTTGAATTATCTCAATCTTATCTATTCTTTTATGATAAATTAGAAAAGGCAAATTATTATTTGGATCAAATTATTGATACTTACAAGGAAGATGTCGATTCTCGTTTGGTTCAATATTTATTAACTGCTCCAACTCAAGATGGTGGTCAATATAGCATGTTTTTAAATTTAGTTAAAAAATACGGCCTGATTCCAAAAGATGTTTACAACGATTTGGCTTATTCCACAACTGCTTCAAGAAAGTTGAATGCTTTATTAACTACCAAATTAAGAGAATTTGCTGAAAATTTAAGAGATGAATTGAAAAAGGGTAATGATATTTCAAGTTTAAGAGAATCTTACCAAAAGGAAATTTTTAAGATTATGACTTTATTCCTAGATTTCCCACCTGTTAATCCAAATGAAAAGTTCAGTTGGACTTACTTGGACAAGGACAAAAAAGCTCATACTTTAGAAGTCACACCATTGGAATTTGCCAAAAGTTATTGTAAAATGGACTGTTCAAAACCTGTCTCCTTAATTAACGATCCAAGACATCCATACGGTAACTTAATCAAGATCGATCGTTTGGGTAACGTTTTGGGTGGAGACGATGTTTATTATTTAAATGTTGACAACGATACCTTATCAAAATTGGTTGTTCAAAGTTTAAAACAAAACAAACCAGTATTTTTTGGTTCCCATACTCCTAAATACATGGAAAAGAAATTTGGTATTATGGATGTTGATTTATGGAATTACAAATCCATTGGTTATGAATTAAACCAAAGCAAAGCTTCCCGTATTAGATACAATGAAAGTTTAATGACTCATGCGATGTTAATAACTGGCGCTCATGTCGATGAAACTACTAATAAACCAGTTCGTTATCGTGTTGAAAACTCCTGGGGTAAAGATTCCGGTAAAGATGGTTTATATGTAATGACCCAAAAGTACTTCGAAGAATATTCATTCCAAATTGTTGTTGATATTGATAGTTTGCCAAAGGATTTATCTGACAAATTCATCAATAAAGAAGAACCTATAGTTTTACCAATTTGGGATCCAATGGGCGCATTGGCCGAATGAATCAATCGAAGAACATAGACACTTAAATTTGATCTTTCTCTTTTTCCTTCTTCCTCAAGAAATATATATATATATAACTATAGTATAGATTTTTTTATTCTTAGTTGTTTAATAGAGTTATAACTACCGTTGATCTATATTATTTATGTCAGATCTAACTTGAGGAGCAGTACTTTTTACATTCTTTCCCTGAGAATAAATCAATTTTCGATAAAATGCTCAGAAAAAACTGGAACCTGCTATTTAAGAGACTGAAAACATTGCATTAATTCTTGTTGACTTGATCTAATCAATATATCATAGATTAGCCACAGTAAGTAGGACTAACATCTTGTACATTGTACCGTCATAGTCATCACATATTTTGCGGATCAGGTGACTTCTAATATGTTTCCTTTTTTCAGTTGCAAGCCCATCGACCAAAAAGAAAAAACTTAAAACGATTTCGATATTTAAAACATTCGAAATCATTTAAGTTTAGATATTATTTAGTCAAACCTACTTGATTAGTTGACTTTAGTTCAGGAAGGGATCAATTTATGATTGCTAATTGATAGAGGTGATATTGCAAAGTAGTTGTTTGTATTTTTATTTTTTCTATTGGATATATATTGAAATTTTTGGGATAAAACCGAGAAAGGAATAATTACAGATTTCAACATTACGATATACATATATATCTTTTAGAAATTTTTTTGTTAATTGCATTTAATACCAGAGGTGGGAACAAAATTGTGAAATACAGGTTCTGATTATACTTATTATATTCTCGCTGGAATTGTATTTGGCAGGTAATTTTTTTGGTGATTTTTTTATTTAATACATATTCATATATATTCAATTGACATACAAGTGGGAATACTAAAAGGATGCAAAGGAAGTTTGTTCTTTTCTTATTACAAATTTTGCTAAATGTTGCAGTGGTATTTTCACAGAAAGTTCCATTAAAAGATCATGACACTAGACAATATTTTGCAATCGAAAGTAACCTTACAAGTGAGGAATTAGTTTCGAAATTCCCTAACTGGAAATACGAACATGATGTTAGAGGTTTAGATAACCATTATGTTTTTTCGAAATTATTTAATATGCTTAATAAAAGAGAGGATTATTCTTCTCTAGAAGGTGTAATATCATTCCACGATTTAAAACCTTATAGACTAGGTAAAAGGGCTCCTATTCCGAACCCAATTCCAGAACCTCCAATGGATTCAAGTATGGTCCCGTTGAAAAAGGCTGAGCAAATGCTAGATATCAAAGATCCATTATTTGAGAGACAATGGCATCTTATTAATCCAAGTTTCCCTGGACATGATGTTAATGTAACAGGCTTATGGTATGAAGGAATCACTGGTAAAGGTGTCGTTGTTGCCATTGTAGATGATGGTTTAGATTATGAAAGTGAAGATTTGAAGGATAATTTTTGCAAAGAAGGTTCTTGGGATTTTAACGAAAATCAAAATTTACCAAAACCATTATTATATGATGATTACCATGGCACACGTTGTGCTGGTGAAATCGCCGCTGCAAAGAATGAATATTGTGGTTTAGGTGTTGCATATGGTTCAAAAGTTTCTGGTATTAGAATTCTATCCGGTCAAATAACAGCAGAAGATGAAGCTGCATCTTTGGTCTATGGATTGGATGTAAATGATATATATTCCTGTTCTTGGGGCCCTCCAGATGATGGGAAACACTTACAAGGTCCAAGTGAACTTGTAAAAAAGTCATTACTAAAAGGTATCCAAGAAGGTAGAGGTGAGAAGGGTTCGATCTATGTTTTTGCAAGTGGTAATGGTGGTATGTTCGGTGATAATTGTAATTATGACGGTTATACAAATTCAATTTATTCAATAACAGTCAGTGCTATTGACCACAAAGGTATGCATCCTCCTTATGCCGAAAGTTGTTCTGCTGTAATGGTCGTAACTTACTCTTCTGGTTCAGGTGAATTTATTCATTCTACTGACATCAATGGCAAATGTAGTGATAGACATAGTGGTACATCTGCTGCAGCTCCTTTGGCTGCTGGTATTTATGCCTTAGTATTAGAAGCAAATCCTAATCTGACTTGGAGAGACATCCAATATTTATCCATTTTAGCTGCTGCCGAAGTGGATAATGGAGATGGCGAATGGCAAGATGGGGCTTTAAACAAAAGATATTCTCACCGTTATGGTTATGGTAAAATAGATTCATATGAGATTGCCACAATGGCAAAGACATGGAAAAACGTTAACCCACAAACCTGGTATTATCATCCAATTGAAGAGGTAAATTCTTCTACAAAT